TTTTACGTAACAGCTTTTGTCTTTTTGCTAATAATACTTTCAAGCAAACTAAAGGTGTCCCACAAGGTGGCAATTTTAGTCCACTACTGGCAGATCTTACGCTTTCTGTCATGGAGTATTACTATGCTAAATCCAAAAAGTTTAACAACAGTAAGCTGTTCATTCCATATAGATATATGGATGATTTGCTTGTACATAACCAAACTGATGGTGATGTGGATGAACAACTTTCTCAAGTTTATCAAAATACGCTTCAATTGAAAAAACTCATAAAAGTGAAGTTTCCAGCAATTATTTAGATTTAGCAATCAATATTACTAACGGTAAAATTAATACCAAGCTGTATAATAAAACGGATGATTTTAGCTTCAATGTAATCAGATTTCCCATAGTGACACAAACATTTCCCTTATTAACAAACCGATCCTTTTTCCGGTGTGAAATGGGTCCCGGTGAGAAGTTTTCCATGAGAGGGAGGGCCAGTCGGCCGAATGGTCGAAAAAAATTGTTTTGAGAATTACCGCACTTTACCGTTTCACTGCTTGTATATACCCCCCCTAGAAGACAGTCATCAAAATTTTCTATACCGCAATCCCGTCACTGATGAGGAAGCGCAGAATAAACGGCACCAACCATTTGGTATACTCCCTACGGTTATCCCTAACTAACTTCATCTGCCCAACCATTGCTCAGTTTCACTTACTCCCCATTTCCTGGAGTTTTTCGGATATGTTTTGAGGGTTTTTGTCCCCGGCACCGTTCACTTCGGCGAACGCCCTGCCCATCGCGGGTGTGCTTCATTCATTCCGTCCGCCAACTGTTTGCCTATCGTTTCCCACAATTTCCGCTCTCCGGGAACCGAATTACGAATTTTTGAAAGTTGTGTAGCGAGCACCGCCCACCTATAGCACGCCTCGCCCATCACGGGTGTGACTCCCTCATTTCATCCGCCAACTGACTGCTTATCGTTGGTCTCTGGGGATCTTCTGGACGCTCGTTCCAGGGAGTGTTCAGCTGCGAACTACGATATTACGCTCAGCAACTGGTGCGCGAATTGCCCCGCCCAGCAGTGGGCGGGCTTAGCTCAGTTACATCGTGGTGTCCGGGTACATGCTTGACCAGCGCTGCGCGCTAAGCCGCAAGCCCCACACCCTGTGACACGCTCGTCCGTCGCAATCTGGTTGCTTTCAGTGATCTCAATTTCCCGGACAGTACCAGAACCAAACAGACAAACGACAAAAGCAGACAGTAATAACCAGAGCAGACTTGCCGTGATAACAGGGGGCCCAAAAAAGTCACCTTCGAGTCCGAGGTCACATATACCCAGCAAAAGTTTTCGCAGCCAACAAGGAGAGAAGAACGGAAGTGACGGAGTAACCACAGGGCGGAAAATCCCGAAGATGTTCTTGCTATTTCTATTTCATTTTTTAACTGGTTCCGCGCCATCCACGCCATAGTATACCAAAAATCAGGGAAGTCAGTGCTTCCCACTCGCAGCCCTGACTGGAGAAGGTCCTTTCGGAATTTCATATCATCCCTCCAAAGGCTGTCGAAACTTCATAGTATGGGAGTCATCTTTCATTGGATTTGAGTCCCTATTCTGTTCTTGTGGACCGCATTACGTTCTCGAATCTGCAGAAGAACCTCCAATCATCAATTGCTCTCCGAGCAACGTAGCCTATCGCGTCCCAGGACACTTCCATCTTCGAAGCCGCAGTCCGCCGCTCAGGCGCGTGTGAGTGTATGGGAGGGTACCGCAGCCTCGACATGGAAAGACCAACTATCTTTTTCCGGTGACCCTGGTCCTAAGGCCGAGCGGCTTGGCGGTTCTACATCGACCAGTAAGTCTCGAAACAGATATCTCCCCCAGCGAGTCCGCCGGTCACTTCTTCTTATAAAATAACACCCCCCCCAAAACTTGTAGCTGGTATCACACTCTCTTGGGCATTGTGCCAACCTACCGTGAAGTCGAACAGGCGTGGAGAAAATCTTGCCTACCTTGGAAAGGAAGGGGGGCGCTGAGGGTTACTGAAAGAAGCACTGGATATTCCAGTGGTCGGTCCCCTGTCCTGAATTACCACGACTGAATCCCCTCACCCGGTTCGGGCGGAGTTCAATAGGGTGGTCTACGGTGGCGGAGAAATCGACTATCTCGCTGATCTCAGGGACCACATCGCGGTTGCGTGCCAGAATCTCTCGATGGCGCTCCTCCAGAAGGCTGTGGCGGAGTGTCATAATAGTATTTAATATGCTCTTTAATATGGTGGTAGAAATGTCCGATCAGAATTTATAAAGTGTAACTTATAGCGCCTCGAAAGTCAATGAAGCAAAGTGACTTTTTTGGCCCCCCTGTATACGGAAACGTTGAGGTTAGCAAACACTTGTTCGTTCTTCAATGTATTCGTAAGCAAAATAACGGATATGGTCACGACTCTTTCGAAAAATGGCTACGATTTTATTATTACTAGCATTGTGAAATGTATTTACAAAAATAAATTTATAAGTTACAAATACTCTATTGCAAATAACTATAGAAAGATAAGTAGACTGGTTAGAGGTATTCTCATTGGCAGCGGTGTTCAACACTAGCTCTCCTTCTACCACTAAATTTTGATTTAACCTTTTGTAATCCGCTGCGACACTTCCATTTTTCTTCCTCTTACACGAATCTTGTACTCACACCGGTTATATCCTTCTTTCATTTTCCTTGTACAATTCCTTCTCATCTTTATTGCATGGATTTTGCATGTCAACTTTTTTACATTTTTTCTCGCTTTGTCCTTTTTCTTAACTCCTTCCCCTATGTAGTCCATGTCCATGTCTCAACTCTATCGTACTGAGGAGCCCGGGGGTTGGTAAGACATCGATGATTCGTCTACGATAACGGGCGAAACGGATCATCTGTGATGTTGAGTGTATTCCTTTCCCCAATATTTGTTTCTTTGTTTCTAATTGGTATAATCTCTTAACTGTGTTACAGATTCTGATGATTCTCGCTGAAGTTGGACTTTGAACTTCACGCCTACAGGGTTAGTAACCACTGCATAAGCTCGCCTCAGAAGTTTATAGCTCGCTTCACATGGCATCGACTTTTTGAATTACAGTAGAATTCAAACAACACAACGGTATGTGGTCATGGGTTATCTTCCGAACAAGAACGGCGCAAGAGCAACGTTCACTGGTGTAGGATGATACTGCTGCGATCTTCACGTTACTAAGATTCTTTATTTGTTGCACAGCGCTGTACTGAAAGTTCAAAAAGGAAACTTCGAATTGGACTCGAACCAGCCTTTCCTAATTTCTTGGACACGGGACATCGCAAGTGTTCGCCGCCTGTCGACAGTTCGTGAATATTCCAGTAATCGATTGTCGATTTCTAGGCGAGTTGCCAGCAAATCCTTGTTATAATGCCACGTTGTGTTCCTCAAAAAAGTCTTCGATCTGCTTATTTATTTCATAACACCTTATCGTGGATTGAAATTGACTTAGTTAATATGCTCAAAAATATTTGAACTTGATGTTCTACCTCCATGTGCAAAGCGGCAACTCAATAGGTCCAGCGAGCGGATTGTACCATTCGCCTTTGGAGAATGCGATTAGAACTGCAACACTATTTTCTCTAACACCTTATATTTAACGGGCAGGTGTGACCTATATAGTTTTGAAAAGTACTTGAGAACTACCGTACGGTATTGGTTTTGTGAGGAGGGGTTCTCAGTTGTGTCAGTTTCCAGTTATGCATCATAAAATCACGTTCTTCATTCCATTTGCTATTCGTGATCCAGTTGTCGCGGGCCCATGCAGTTCCCTGGAAAGAGCTGCCATAAATTCTCTCGTTCCAGCTCATTTTGTTGTTATGGTGTGCTGTGATGTTGCATTGGAGGCAAGTTAAAGAAAGCACTTCGGTCATTTTCGCTGTTGCTGCTAGTTAAGAGCGTCTTGGAAAAAAAGAAGCA